GAGAAACCAGGAAGAACCACCTGCTGAAAAGCTTCGTATGGTTCTCATCACTCACAGAGCTACCAACCCCCAGGCTCCTCTCAGGAGCATTCTTATTGCTTTTGAAAAAACATTCACTTATTTGTTTTTATTAGCAAGGCATATTTACAGAGAGAAGGTCAGACAGAGAGAAAAATCTTTCATTTGCTGGTTCACACCCCAAGTCACTACAAAAGCCAGAGCTGAACCAATCTGAATCCAGAAGCCAGGAGCATCTTCCAGGTCTCCCACATGGGTGCAGGGTTCCAAGGCACTGAGCCATCCTCCTCTGCTTTCCAGGGACATAAGCAGGGAGCTGGATGCAAAGTGGAGCAGCTGGGACATGAATCCGTGTCCGTATAGGATCCGCGCATTTGAAGGTGGAGGACTAACCAACAGAGCCATCGCACCATGCCCAGGAAACTATTCTTATTGTTCTGAGTTACTGCTCCGAAAAGCCACCAATTGGACAGGGGGCCAGTCACCTTGCTGCTAAGATATGTTCCCAGGAGGCACAAGGGGAAGAAACCGTTTCAGATGATAAACTCAGAACTCAGGGTGACACCTGAGAAAATCCCTGTGGTGATGGCGTCCCCTGAGGGTAGCCTCAGCTCTGGCTGGCCTCCTAGGTCTCTGGCTTCCTGTCCTGTAGCCAAGAACCTAAGAAAATAGAACAAATCAGACCAGAGAACATTTGAAGAATCAGTGACAAAAATAATTAAAGTTCTTGGTAAAGAATTCAGTTATCAAGGGATATGAGTCAGAAGTAAGCAGAAGCCAGAAAGTTTAAAAAAAAAAGTTGCCTTGGGCATTGCTGAAGTATTTGCTTACTTCAGGAAAGTTTTCAAAGAACATCCTGAAGCTGTGAAAATGTGAGCAACAAGGAATGGCAGTAAAGGGATTTTTTCCTTCAGTTCCTCCATTCTTGATAACATCCAGAAGAAAATTCTTCAACACAGCGCAGCTTGTCACTAGCAGAAAGCAGTTTTCAATGTCTTTAGGATCTTTCATTTTGAAAGGAAAGATATTGTAGTGTACCTGAGATAGAATAGGTAAATTAAACAGGGCAGGGGTTATGGCATAAATGTTTAAACCACTGCTTGCTTGAACCAGCATGCCATACCGGAGTGTCAAGCTCAGCCCTACTCACTACATTGCTTCCACGCCAGCTCCTGGCAAATGCGCCAAGGAAGGCAGCACAAAATGGCCCAAGTATTTGGCCCCTACTGCCCAGGTGAGGGACCTGGGTGGAGTTCCAGGATCCCAGCATCAGTCTAAGACCTGCTTATTGTAGCCACTCAGGGAGTATATCAGCAGATGGAAGATTTTTTTTTCTCTCTCTCTCATCCAAACAAATAAATAAATGCTTATAAATAAATAATAGGCCAAATCAAGCGCATGGATGCATTTTTCTCCTAAAAACAAGTTCCAACACACAATGAGTTGTGTGAAATGAAAAGGAGGGAAAGGAGGACAGGAGCCACGGAGCTGCTCAGAGAGCTGGGATTGTGCTTGGAGAGCCTGCAGCAGAGCCCGGCCCCGCTTCCCACAGTCCTTACTGGCTGCAAACTGGTAGATTCACTATAATCAACCATCCGGCCCCTTGGAACACTGTGACTTGGATGTATTTTCTTCATTTTGCAAAGACTGAATATGACATTTGCCCCTCTTTGTTCTGTTACTATTGATCTTACTTAATCTAGCTATTATTTAGTTGCATGAAATCTTCAAATCATAGAATGACAACTGAGCTAAACTTTCTCTTTCATTTAGGGAAAGCTTAATTCCTCTCCCCTCAAAATACACTTTTAAGAAACCCTGAACATAAGATTTATTTACAAACAAGCAAAAAACTGGAATTAGAGGTAGATGTTTGGCCTAGAGGTTAAGATCCTGGTTATGGCGCTTCCACGGCACCTGGGGGAGGTCTCCGCTTGGACCCTGACCCTGCCTTCCTCTCAGCGTGCACCCGAGGAGGAGGGAGACGGCGCACGTGACTGGGTCCTTGCCAGGTGGGAGAGCCCATCACTGCCGACACTGGGGGAGCGAGCCTGAGCACGGGAACTCCTCTCTGCCTAAATAGGAATTAAGTGACAAGAAATGGTCTACATGTTTCAAATTTCCCTCTTCCTCCCTTTCTTGACAGCAAATGCCCACCATGGTATCTTGATTTCATGACTCAAGGTTAAGCAGGGATCCTGGCTGCCTGCAGGATGGTGCCGACAGCCCACACTGCAGTACTCCCAGCTCCAACACGAGGGCTGCTCATAGTTCAGGCTGCCTCAGACCAAGGCCTTCCACCCTGAACAAGCTGCAGGCAAGCAACCTGAATGACCCTTTCCGTGAACACAGTTATTCTTGATACGTGCAAGGAGCCGTGGGGAAATCCGCCTTTGGAGGGGACCCTGAGGCCGGTCAGGGGGGATCCCTGCCTGCAACACCTCTTCAGAAGTGCAGGGGTGTAGGTCAAAGGGAGATGAAATTAGCCCGCACCACTAAAGCCAACTAAATAGAGGTTCAAATGCCAGCCTCATCCTTGAAGCACACGCTTCTGACATTAAACATGTGCTGATAATTTATAGAGTTATTACAGACCAAAAGGCTGTGCAAATAGGGTGTTTTCAAAGGAAATGTTTTTTGAAGTTTGAGTGATTGCAAACTGATTAATATGATGCCTTACACATTTTTCTTGCTGTTCATTCTCCTTAGATGTTCTCCTGAAATGAGATTCTGGAAGGCCGTCGACTATGCCGGATCACAGGCAGCCTCCCCTCTGAGCTGATCCTCAGTCAGAAGCCTCAAGTTGGAAAATATGGAAATTCTCCCTGCACGTTGATCACAGAAGAGACACCTGAACCTCAAAGAGGCTCTAGCCTTCTCCAGGACACCAGCCTCAACGGCCCCACCGCATAAACAGGCACATCTTGAACACCAACTGCAGACTAAGACGTGTGCATCCGAGCAGCCGGCCAAGGCCAGAGGGGAAGCCAGCTCAGTCTCCCTTCAGGAGTGAGCAGGGCTCAGACTGTAAGTTCTCTAGCTTACACACCCAGATCTCTTTTATAAAAAAACAAATACCTGGGCCCGGCATGGTGGAGCAGTGGTTAAGGTCCTCGCCTTGCACACCCGGGATCCCATATGGGTGCCAGTTCTAATCCCGGCAGCCCCACTTCCCATCCAGCTCTCTGCCTGTGGCCTGGGAAAGCAGTCGAGGACAGCCCAAAGCTTTGGGACCCTGCAGCTGCACAGGAGACCTGGAAGAGGCTCCTGGCTTTGGATCGGCATAGCATCAGCCATTGCGCTCACTTGGGGAGTAATGCATTGGACGGATTCTTCCTCTCTGTCTCTCATCTCTGTATGTCCGTCTTTCCAACAAAAATAAAAAACAAATCTTAAAAAAAAATACCTGGGCCCGGTGCGATAGCCTAGTGGCTAAAGTGTTTGCCTTGACTGTGCCAGGATCTCATGTGGGCGCCAGTTCTAATCTCAGCAGCCCCACTTCCCATCCAGCTCCCTGCCTGTGGCCTGGGAAAGCAGTCAAGAACGGCCCAAAACCTTGGGACCCTGCACCTGCGTGGGAGATCCAGAAGAGGCTCCTGGCTCCTGGCTTCAGATTGGTTCAGCTCCAGCCATTGCAGCTGCTTGGGAAGTGAACCATTGGATGGAAGATCTTCCTCCTTGTCTCTCCTCCTCTCTATAAATCTGCCTTTCCAATAAAAATAAATAAATCTTTTTAAAAAAAATACATAAAAGGAGTTCTTAACAAAAGTATACTGGGCTTCAGAAATTTTAAAATACTATTAATCAGGAACTAAATGCAGACCTAGGCCCACGGGGAAATTTGGAGGTGGGTCAAGTTGACTGACATTTAATTGCATATACAACGGCCTTATTCCAAATGGCTTAAGCTCAGCACAGCAGCCTGTATAGTGGGAGCAGAGAAGAAGCTAGATGATGCTGAAGATGACGGCAGACCTCCTGCTCAGGGCAGATGCCAGCAGCTCCCGGGCCCCGAGATGCCGTGGATCCTGTGAATTGCTACGCAAATGTACCTGAGCCTGGCCAATGTATTTCTCTCCATCCTGACTGAAGGCATGTGTCAGACAGGCTGCCCCAGGAGAAGGTCTTCTGGCTGCTGGGATGTGGCAGCAGACACAACCCAGCAGGAACACAGGAATGGAGAGCCTGGGCCCTGCTGCCTCTTATGAAATCACCGTGCCATGACTGCTCTTTCTAGAATGTGTGGGTAAACTTAACCAAACCGGGGGCTTATGTGGAGGGACGGAAGTTTTGACCGGGAGTAAATGGATCTTTGCCTAATTAGATATCCCAAGAACATTTGTTCACAGGGCCTGGCAGCTTCAGGGCATCCAGTGACATCTTTTGCCGTGAAACGCTAGGGTCGGGTGGGCAGCCACGGTGGACACTCGAGGTCCCATTCTCTCTAGCTCTCTCCTCACCTGGTGTCATCATGAGCCTTACCAGTTGAACAGGCCACAGCATGTGGAACTACAAATAACCAATTGTTTTGTCGTGAGATGCCACCTGACTGAGGCTCTTGTGGAAGCCGAACTCTATCTGGTAGAGCAGGCGTTTCCGCCCGAAAGCTGAGCTCCAGGGTCCAAGGTCTGCACTACAGGGAGGATCTGATTAACACCCAAGGCTCACCCAGTGCCTGCCACATCCCATCCCATCCCTGGCCACCTCCCTTGGAACTGCCCACTCACAGCCTGGAGCCAATTGCCAGCACCAAAGCAATGTTCCGTCCTAATGCTTAGAAAGCAAACCAATCCAATTGCTTTTTGGTGTAGTTCTCTCAAAGACCTGTCTGTGAAGGCAGAATGTGGAAGTGTGAATTGGCAAAAAGTTTTTGCCTAACTGCAATAGGTTCCACTTCTCCCCAGTCCCAAGCTCTTCTGGGCTGTGTGCAAGCCCCTCCCTCAGGGCAGTCTGCACCAAGCAGGGTAAGCACATACACTTACTTAGTGAGGTGATTGGCTGCCTCTGGCTCTGCCTGTGCTGGTGGAAATCTATAGCTAATGAAAACCTGTGAAGAAAGAATTGCTTTTAGTGGGCACAGCCTTAGTATTTTTCTCTCGTTGACAGAGACATTAGTTCAGTGTCATAAACATGCTGGTTAGAGAAGCCTTTGGCGCTCCGGCATCCCCCATGGGACATACACAAGCAATTCTAACAGCAGACACAATGGCCTGCCAGGTGCTGGCCTGCTGCAAATAATTCTTGATCCTAAATGTGAAGCAAGTATTGATCTAATACCATTGAACCTATGCCTGCCATTTGCAAAGCGGTTCCTACCTGCTCCATGAAGCAGATTGTGATCTAGTCTGCTGTAAAAAGAGTATGCAATACAGTGAAAACAGGGATTTTACTCTCCATTCTCAGTATAAAAATAAAACAAGGGTTTGCTGTTCCTTCCAGAGCTGTCTCTTCCAGACGAAAAGGAAAGATGCAACTTGCAGGTTTGTCTATTGGTGACTGCATGGGGTGTAGCTCAGGAGATGGCTTGGATGGGGGCCAGCAGGATGGATGGGAGCCCAAGGCACCAGCTGCATTGGGAGGAAGTGGCCACACACTACAGTATAGCCCACACTCTCGTTCCCTTTTGGGGTCTGCTTTCTTTGTCCTGTGAGCAGAGATGCAAGCAGAGTCACTGATCTCTTTTGAGGACTCCCAGAGAAACTGTTAGACCTTGACAAGATGAAACGAGACTTTCTACCATTGCCCTGACCTACAATGCCATGATGCACTTAAACAGCAGAATGTTGGACTTGTGGCTGATGCTAAAGGACTATACTGTTGTAACAATATTGGAGAAACTAGTCGGGGGAGGGGGTTGGGAGGGAGCAAGGCGAGGTAGGGGAGAGAATCCCTATACCTACAAAACCATTACATGGAAAAGAATACTAGTACTAAAAGAATGAGTTTCACTTGGTTCTGATTGCAGTTCCCCCTGTAGAAGTGTCTACTCTGCTGAGCCAACACCAGAGAAGCAGGGCCTGTGAGGGCACAGATCTGGGCTTCCGCGGCGTGCCACCGCAGGCATGTGGGCCTACAGGGGTACGTGTCGGAGTCTTCCTAGGAATCAATGAAAATGGAGTGGTTGGGCGGATAGCCTTCTTCCTTCAAAGTGATTTTTCTACAAGACTCTTCATTGCTGGGAATGTCTTACATTCTCGTCTGATTCATAATGTTCTCCCAAAATTCATACTCTGGGACCTCGGAATGTGACCCTATTTGTAAAGAGTTACCTTGCAGATAGACGGAGTTACATGAAACCACGCTGGATGAGAGTGGGAGCCAAGGCTGATGACTGTCTTTCTTACAGGGACAGACATGCAGGGCAGAAGGCAACCACACACCAGCGGATGCTGGGACTGCCCAGGCCACCTGCAGAAATCATTCTTTGGAAATTTAGGGAAGTGTAGCTTTTTCCCTACCTTGAAACCAGACTTCTAGCCTCTTGAACTGTTGAGGGAAATGACTGCTCCCTGGGGTCAGTGTGATGCCAGCACCCATGTTAGAGCATGAATCTGCGTCCAGGCTGCTCTGCTTCCAGTCCAGCTCCCTGTGAATGCACCTAGGAAGCCGGCAGGTTGCAGCCCAAGGGCTTAGAACCCTCCTGTCCAATGACAGTCCTGGATGGAGTGCCAGGCTCCTGGATTCAGTGTGTCCCAGGCTTCATTTAAAAGTCATCTTTTCCTGATGAATTTTTAAAGTTGTCATCTGCATTCCATTATGTATCCAGTGCTGACTTCTCTGCCTCCTCAAGTGTGTGGTCATGGTCAAGTGGTGAGGATGCTGTTACCACGAAGCCACATCCCACTTCAAGCCTAAACAGTCTGATGTAAAATACTTCTCCCACTAGTGCTTCCCATGAAGAGCTGCCTTCAAAACCCACAACTCATCCTAGGAAACGTGGAGCTCATGAAGTGTGGGGCCAGACCCTCTATGTCATCTGGAAAATGCAAAAGCAGAGATGGTTATTTCAGGACGTACAATGCGATTTTGCTCTGAGATATGTGCCAGTCACTCTACAGCCCTGTAATTTCAAGCAATCCAAAGTTGTCATTACATGTCTGCACTTCCAGTTCTTCCCAGAAGAAGTACACAGCTCTGGCTCTGGCAGTGGAAGCCAGGGAAATGAACTTCCAGCTTGCAGGAAGACAATGCCTGATGCGGCCGCAAAAGCCTGGTGTTGATACTGCAGGGAAGGCAGACACCCACAACCTCCTGGTCATGGACAGGCAGTTCTCCTGTTACAGACCCAGTTTCCTTGGATGTAGAGGAGGATTCTTTTGAGTCCCACATGATAAGGAGCACAGGTGAATGTTTTTCATAAAAATGTAAACTTCATTTTTACTCAGAAAATCAGATTATGAAGCATATGGAGGGACAACACCACCTCCAGTCTTCTCGGTAGCGACATGCGGGTAGCTCCACTCTTGCTCAGATTGCATCACTTGCTTGGAGTCAAGCAGACAGCAAATGGCAGATAAGTCTCAAATCTGAGGGCTCTGAGTTCATATTCAAAGTTTTCTAATCTCATCTTTGCTTTTCATCTTCTTAGTAATCCAGCAGGGCAAGGGTTCACCTTCTTCCCTTCCTGATGTCTCCCTCAAGACACAAGGTCTGAATTACTGGGATGCAAGAAGGCTGGTGGAGTGCTGAAAACTTGGCAAGCTGACAAGCAACACTGTGTAATGAGCACTCATCTTGGGAGCACGAGGTGGGGACCCTGCCTCGGAGGTCGCAGTCGCCTCAGAGGTCAGAGGAGGTGCACATCCTTTAGACCAGCCAAGTGTGAACACTCAGGCTGCAGGGCTGCACAACCCCCAGATCTCTCAGCTCCTTTGGTCTAGCTTCCTGCTCGCACTCCTCAGCTCTGCAGTTTGGTCTGTTGAGTGAATTCTGGAAGGTGCCCTGTAAATACCTATTCATGTAACCCCCAGCTGATACCTTCAGCACGTCCCTTCCACTCTCTGGGGTGCAGTGCGCTCATGGGGCTTTCAAAGCTGCTGTGACAGAGTCCTTCCAGCTCTCAGCCCTTGACATTGATTGGTATTGTGGACACACAATCACCTTCACTCAGCTCTTACAGACGTACCACACGGTCTTCACCTCCAGGTCCTGGAGCACACTCATCCCTCTGCCAGCAATTCCTTCCCCACTCACCTTTCTCCCCACAGCTGGAATTCATCTCATTTCTCCTAAATCTTCTCTGAATGTTTACTCCCAGCTATGGTGGACGCCAGCGCAGACTCCTGCGGTGCCCTGACTCAGCTGTCCATCACTCACCACTCTGCTCATTTGTCCCTTTCCCACCAGCATGCAGAATGTCAGAGCTTCTCAGCATCAAGATCTTAATTTATCACCTGCCATCGACCATACGTTATCCCATGACGCACAGACACTCCACAAGCTCTTGATAATGAGTCAAAGTTAAGTATGAGATATATTTTAATATAATGGAGAAAGTATATGTGTATTTATATATTTTTAAGATTATATTTTATGTCATTATTTAACGGCACCGGCTGAAACACTGCACCTAGGTTATGACTAAGTGTCCCATGATAGGCACCTGATATTCATATCACAAGAAGGGGAACCAAACCTTCTCTGAGCATCTCAAATTCCAGAAACCACTGGTTAAGAGGCATGAGGTTAAGGTATCCAAACAGGCACACGCTCAGCTGTCTATCAGGAAGGCACGTGTCGAGAAATTGTTAAAGACATAACTGTCCATGACAGTTTGTCCATGCTGTGCTATCACCAAAATACAAAACTTCGAGGCAAGTGGATGCATGGACCCATGAGAAACATGAGTGAATTCATGGAGGTTTATCAAAGTATCAAAAATTAAGTCCACTGCAAATTATTTCTAGCACATTTCTTATTTTGAAGACTTCCCTTCCAATAAAGGCTAATCGGATATCGAATATTTTTTAAAAAATCTCTTACTGGAACATTCTGTGCCTAAAGTTATTCTTTGAGGCCGGGACAGTATAATTATTGATGTAAACAACAGACCTACAAAATTACTCACCCCCAAAAGTGCCAATGCCGCTCAGAGCATCATCTCAAGGACATGTGTGGGCATTCCAGATGGTGCTGCAGAACCCATAAAAAACAAGCGGTCACTAAAACAACTGGCCAAATTCAAGTTAGGACACAGCTTGCTGCTGCTCAAACAGAAGCTTTCCGGGGTGGATGTGAGACAAAGACAATGGCGGTGGCAAAAAGACACAGAGATAAACGGGAGGCATCCGTGAGGATGATACCAAGTTACCATCTCTGCCTCAAGGACACTTCCATTCTCTTTGCTATTTCCTGACGACAAATCCCAGCTCCTCGATTTTTCTAATCATAAACCTGTGGTCGGCCTTGACCGCCCTCAGATCTCCTTTGCACTCCCATTTCCAATTCCCAAATCACCCTTCTATACAGCACTCCTGGTGGCCCACCTGAAGTCTGATTACCACACCTCAGCCTTACAGCTCATTCTTGTTCTCCCTGTGACTACTGCTCATCACCCCTGACATTGAGTCCAGGGCCTGTGGCTCACAAGCTGAGGCTCGTTGTCCTCTCTGCTCAGCCCAGATCCTGTCTCCCCGAGAGCCCTGGTTGGCTCCCTCTCTTCGCCCATCTTCCACACTCTTCCAACAAGGCCCCTGCCTCTCCTCAGCCAGGCCCCAGCACAACCATCACCCGAGACTCACTTCTCCTTGAAGATGAATGTCCTCCACTCGGTGACTTTAGGAACCTGGAGCCCAGTTTACTTTCACAGATTTTAAATTGAACTCTAGGGTTTTTTTTTCCCTAGTTACCACCAAATTTGCCTGTGGAAACCAGACTCTCTAAAAACTGCTTTGAATTCAGAGTTTTCTCCAGGTCGTTGTTTATTGCCTCAAATCATGTTTCAGCAAAAGCATTTTTCTTACATAAATAAAAATCTCAAACACTTTAATGGCCACATTAAATTTGGCTCGTCTTGGTTCTCACAAGCGACGCAGCTCTTT